TAATTGATAAGTGTGGTAGAGTTCTATTCATCTTATTTTGTGAAAGTCCATTGCTTAGTTTTATCTTTTGCATCATTGTGGTAGCTGGGTTTTATTCTTTAGTTTCTAGGTGTTTAGTTTGCTGGTCATCCATTGTGATGGTCAGTGTGTAGAACAAGTCAAAGTATTTCCTGTAGAGCTGGTCTTGTGGCAAACTTCCTCAATGTTTGCCTATCAGTAAAAGATTTGATTTCTCCATCAATTTTAAAGCTTAGCTTTGCAGGATATAGAATTCTGGGCTGAAAATTGTTTTGTTTAAGTGGATTAAAGGTAGATGACCATTTTCTTCTGGCTTGAAAAGTTTCTCTGTTTTTGAGATGAGTGGGGGACAGGTATCCCTTTGAAAGGAGTGTATCAGAATCTTTGGTGATGTTTGGAAAATTTTCATTTGTGGTATCCTCTTATATGACTTCCCTTCCTCTGGGGTATTCTTCTTCCCCTTCTGGATACCTGTAACTCATATATTTGAATGCTTCATAAAGTCCCATCATTTTGTCAGTGAACATTCTGCTTTCTCTCACTTTTTTTCTGCCTTTTTAACTATCTGAGTTATCTCAAGAGCTTTGTCCTCTACCTCTGAGATTCTTTTTTCTACATGTTCTAATTTGTTGTTGATACTTTCTGTTACATATTTAAGTTCCCTAATTGACTGCTTCAAGTCCTTCAGCTCTATCCTTTCTGTATTCTTCATATCGTTCATCTCTTACTTGATTCTGATTTTGGATTTCCTTTTGGTTATTTTCCACTTTCTCAGCAATTTCCTTCATTGCTTTCATCATCTGCATTTTAAATTCCCCTTCTGACATTTCTAACATTTCTTTATAGGTGGAATCCTCTGCAGTAGCTACCTCATGGTCCCTTATGGAGGTTGCTCTGGACTGGGTTTTCTTATTGCCAGGATTTTTCTGCTGATTCTTCCTCATGAGTGTTTTCTTTTATCTGTTTCCTTGCCCTGATTTTCCTTTCATTACCTCTTGCTCTGTAAGTTACTGTGCCTCTGGCCTAAGGTTTTGAAAAGTCCTTTTGGTACAGGAACTAAAAGGATGAGAAGATGGAAGAGCAAGAAGGGAAAAAAGATTTTTAAAAAAAGAAAAAAAGAGAAAGGTGAGGGGGTGAGTGAAAGTGAATATTGACAAAAGGAAGAGAGGCACAGATAGAGGAGCCCATTTGCAACCACTTGCCAGGACAGGAGTAATTACAGGAGTAATGACAGCGCACAGTAGGTTACTTTGACCCACACCTTGAAAATCCCCAACCTCTGGGGGTTGGGTGGTTCCCTTAAGGTCAGCAGCTACTTGCCAGCCCAAGCAGATACGGTACCCCACCTCCACCAAATAGAGAGAAAAGACAAAAATACTATAAATCAAACCAAAACTAACAAACAGAAAACCTTATGGTATAAAACTGAGGGAAAAACCAAATAACAGAGACAGAAACACGAGCAAAAATAAAGTTCTTATTATTAAAGAAGGCAACAATGGAAAATTCTATTTACACTAGAAAAATGAAGAAAGGAAAAAAAAAGAAAAGTCAGGGGGGGGAAGTTAAAAAAAAAAAAAAACAGCAACCAAATCCCCAAACAAAGCAGTGTATATCTGGGCATCAGGTGATCTTCTGGGGTATAAGATGCTAATCACAATGCTGATACAGCTGTATGAGATGTAGATTGCAGGCCTCTGCTGACCAGTTTGTCCTCAACCCTGGCAGGGTTGAAATCCTGAATCTCTCCTCAGCACACTTTAAAGACAGTTTAAACCATTAACTTTGGCTAAGCCGAAGCTTTCCCAGGAAAGCACTTGTCGCTGGGATCTCTCTTGAAGTGGCTGCCTGTTTATCCGGTGCTGTGCATTAAAACCAGCCACACTCTATGCCCCTGAGGGCTAAGGCCACAGGGCAGCCCTTCCTTTGCTAAACTCTGGAAGTTCTGTTCTTCCCCAGAGGCCTTTGGCATTGCTCATAGTCACTCAGTCACTCACCCAAGATCTCCCAGCTTGGGCCTCTCTCTGCCACCCTGAGGCCAGAGCCTGTAGGGGCAGTTCTCCCACAATGGCTGTGTGGGCGGCCCACAGCCAAACAATGTTAGGTTCTGGGCCAGCGGCTCAGTCCCTGACACTGGACAATGTTTAAAGACACCTGCACTCTCACTCAAGTTCTCCCAAGGTATTTCAACCCAGTGCCCAAGTCCAAGCAAACAAAACCAACCCACTAGGAAGGCTTTCCCTGTCTTCAATCTTGCTGGTGTTGTGGTTGCAGCTGCGGCAGCCCATTTGCAACCACTTGCCAGTTCTCCACTGTTTTTGTCCTCCTGGGGTACAGAAGTCTCTCGCTGGATTCCTGCATCCCCAAAGAGATATTTCTTGGCAGAGCCTACAAGCTGGACATCCCTGGAGTCTTCTCTCCCCAATCTCGCTGCTCCTTATTGCAAAGAAGCTGTTACTCCACTACCGTCTTGCTCCGCCATACATAACATTCTTGAAATGACAAAATTATAGAAATTCAAAACTGATTGGTGGGTACCTTGTATCAGGGATTGGTGTGGGGGAAAGATAGGGAAGGATGGGAGTGAAAGGTAATAGAATGCATCCTGTGGTGATAGAATTGTTTTGTGTCTGACTAGATCAATGCCAATATACTGGTTGTGATGTACTATAGTTTTGCTAGATGTTACAATCAGAGGAACTTAGGTGAAGGACACAGGGCTCTATTATTTCTATATGTGAATCTACTGTTATCTCAAAGTAAAATGTTTAAATACAAAGTTTGCTATTAAATATTGTAAGTACCATCCTGCTTACCAGGGATTTTAGCATGGCAAAAGAAGCACACAGAAGCATTGCTATTATTTGTAAGTTTTGGGTGTGTGGTTTGTACTGTTTTACATGCATGCATGCTTTTCTTTCAGTTTCATCAAATATTCTTGGAAGTTATAGTTCAATAATTATTATTTCATCTTATTTTTCCAGTTTTCTTTTGTGCTCCAGTCATTTTCCTTTTCTCATGTAACTTAACTGGTTCTACTTCTTTTTCTTAACGTAACTTGGCTTTAATTCAAAGCCTTGTAGTAAGACTGTACGTGGAACTTTAGGAAGATTTGATGTAAGACATCATTTTCATTTTGATCACAGTTGTGTGTATGTGTGACTTTGACAGATTAGCATGAATAAAATCTTATTCTGAGAAATAACCATATTAGTTGATCTATTTATGTGTTTCTTTTTCTTTACAGAAACTACCACATCTCAGAGTACCAGTGGACTTACGGATATAGCATGGAGTTCCAGTGGAAGTGATTTGTCAGATGAGGATAAGACACTTTCTGAACCACAGAGAGATAATGAACATGGCTCCAGAATAGGCAGTTTTTGTAACAGGAAAATTTTATGTCCAGAAGATGGGGCCAGTGAAGGTAAATTGATAATTTTGTAAGAAATACAATTTTTGTTAAATATTTGATTTAATATGGAAGAAAATTACATTCCTTTCTAATGATAATTAATTATGATTTACTGAGTCCTAGCCTCTATGTTAAACCCTTCAGAAATATTTTCTTTCTTTTTCTTTTTTTTTTTTTTTTTCAGTTTTTGGCCGGGGCTGGGTTTGAACCCTCTACCTCCGGTATATGGGGTCGGCACCCTACTCCTTTGAGCCACAGGCGCCGCCCACAGAAAACATTTTCTTAATTTGTATTTATCACATTCTACTTGGTGGGTGTTACTGATAATAATTTTGGACTTACTAGAATTGCTTGGAATTTCATTTTAAGTCTCTTTGGCTCCAGTCTTTTCAACCCTTACATAAAGCTACATCCATACTACCTCCTTGCTATCCTGTTATCTTTGGGTAAGTACCATGACAAAACAATGTGTGCTAGAAAAAGAACGTCCACATTTCTGTTCTCATGGCATTTTCTATTATACCATGTCTTAGTTCAAAATAATTTCTCAACCTTGGCATCATTGACATTTGGTCCAGATAATTTCTTGTTTCAGGGACGAGCACCTTCTTGGGCATTGCAGTGTGTTTTGCAGCATCCCTGGCCTTTACCCACTAGATCACAGCATACCCGCAACCCTGGTGATAGTAGCCAAAAATGTCTCTAGATGTTAGGGGTTTGATGAAGGACAAAATCACCCCCAGTTAATAACCACAGATCTAAAATTATGGAAATGTCCTTTTACAGATTTTAAACATATAGTTCATTTAGAGTATTTACGACTTCATGCTTTTAAAATAAGCTTATGACTTTTAACTCTGACAGTTCATCTTAGTTACATAGCCAAGGTTAGTTTACACAGACTGTCTCCTGGAAAGTAGTTAGATTCTTTTGGCCACTTTGCAGGTCATTTTGGTAACTACCACTGATATTTTACCAGGTGAAGTGATATTTTAAGGCAGCGGTTCTCAACCTGTAGGTTGTGACTCCTTTGTAACAATGAAAATACATCATGGCATTAGGAAGGTTGAAAACTACTGTTTTAAGATCATACATAAACTGATAGCACTTGTATGTAGTATTATTAATTCAGCCATATTAAATGAAATTTATTGTTGTGTAAACTCTTGGTTTATCTTCATATATTTTGAATATAATTTGAAAATTAAAACTATGCTATTTATGGGTGAATAATATGATTTGTGAACTGTATCCTAGTAAAGTTGGTATTAAAATAAATTAACCCACCTGGACGTGGTGTCTCATGCCTGTAATCCTAGCACTCTGGGAGGCTGAGGTAGACTGGATCCCTTGAGCTCAGAAGTTCAAGACCAGCCTGAACAAGAGTAAGATCCCATCTCTACTAAAAAACTTGCCAGGCATGGTGGTACCTGTAGTCCCAGATACTCTGGAGGCTGAGACACAGGATCACTTGAGCCTGCGAGTTTGCTGTGAGCTATGATGCCATGGCACTCTACCCAAGGCTGCAGAGTGAGACCCTGTCTGAAAAAAAAAGTAAATAAAATAACCCTTGGGAGGCTTGGATGAGAGGATCCAGTGAGGCCAGGAGTTTAAGACCAGCCTGGACAACAAAGCAAAACTTCATCTCTAAAAAATCTGTACATATAAAATAATCAGGTGTGGTAATACCCTATTCAGTCAGCTGAGGCAGGAGGATCACTTGAATCAATATGTTCTGGTGGTTATCAAAACTGGCATATCATCTCAGAATTACCTGGTGATCTCTAAAAACAAAATTCCTAGACCTGCTTGCAGGCCCTATTGGATTAAAGTCTCTGGGTTTTAAGGCCCAGAATTGAGGTCATGGAGGATAAACCCTAAAGTTAAAATTGTGAAAATGTTTTTCTTTTAAAATTTTTTTCATTTCCATTTGGCTTTCATGTGACTTTGGGAACTTAACTTATTGGAGACTCAATTCTCTCATCTGTAAAATGCAAATTTATGTCAATTAATAGTTGTCTTTCTATTTCATAAAATTCTTGGGGACCAAGTATGTAGTGCTTGTCACATTACACTATATTATTAATTGGTGAACTACTCCAAGGTAGGAATGGTGCTGTTTTCTCTCTTGATGTGTATTAGTTTGCTTTGAATTGTGAATATCTTGAGTGATGTGATGGGCCCTTGGTAGACATGGTGTTGAATGAATAAGTGAATGAATGAATGAATGTGTGCTGCACAAATGCGGGATGCTGGCAGCAGCTCTGAGGGCACTTGCGCTCCTCCTTTGGTTCTCTAAGGCTTCCTATTGTGATGGTCCACAGATTTGGAGAATCTGTCATATGTTTTCCTGCCTGGCTTCCCTGAGTGAATACAGTGTTAGTATGGGAAGTGATTGCCATTTTGAATCTTCTTCTTTTAGTGGTGCTCTGACTTCTATTCTGTTACAGTCTTTGTAGTGGACTTTTACTGTGCATTCTGGAACAGTGACATCACATTAATGATTTTTTTTTTTTATCGATTTTTATCCCATAATTTTAACTTGAGCTTTTTTTTTTTTCTTTTTAATTTTAAGTTCTTTTCAGGTATTACAGCACGTTTTTTATTTTTAGTATTACTTCACTGGAAATGAGATTGTTAACAGACCTCCAAAAATAGGATGAATATCTTATTAGAAACCTAAAGTAGCTCCTAGGGAGTACTTGTGCTATGTGTTTTGTGCTGTAGGAAAGGTTTACATTATATGCCAAACCTCAGAGACTAATTTGTCTTTAATAACCACTTTTACTCTTCTAACCATAGCATATTAATACATTGGTTTATTTAGTATTTGAAAGTAAGTTAACTTTCAAACTTAAAATTTTATAAAAGTACCATCTAGATAACAATGCTTGGGAAATAAACTTAGAAACTGAAATTAGTCATTTCCTTGCTGATGAAAGAAATGTATAGAAAAATTACTGGGTGAAAATATATGAAAAATAATTTTCTAATAGAATATTAGTTAAATAAATGATGTTCAATTAAGTAGTGGAATACTGAGTTGTAGAAGGTAATGAGGGATACTCCTTTCTTACTGATATGGTAAAACTTAGTAAGTGAAAAAATCTAGGTGTGTAAGAAAGGAGAGAAAAATAACAATATATATTTTATTTGCTTAAACATGCTGGTGAAACTCTACAAAGATACAAAAGCAACTAATAAGAGTAGTTAATTTAGAACTGGGGTGGGGGTAAGAAATGAGAGAAACAGGGTGACTAGAGGTAAATGTAGAAATATGCTTTTCACTGTCTTAATATCTTAATATATTTTTAGAAATTACTCAGTGACATAAGTATATTAGCTACTGAGAATTAAAAATAGAATTAAAAGTAAAATATTGAGATATAAAATTAAATATGTTAAAAATTATACTTTTTAGATGAATTACAGTTTATTGACTGGGAGTTTGACAGTGACAGGGAAGATGCTAGTGCCTGTAATGAATGTGAAGATGGAGAGGGTGCTGTGGACATCTCCGACTGTGCTTCGTATGCAAGTAGTCATTCTTTGACAATTGATGAGAAGCTGTCTGAACTTCCCAAGGTAAAAATGAATTATTTCAAAATTTTATCCTTTTTATAACAGTTTTTAATCATGCCTTTTGATATTTTTTTCTCTTTATCTCCCAAGGGACAACCACTTTTGAATCTTAGTGGATTCTTTTGTTCTTTCCTTGGTATTTCTAAATGACATGTTTGTGCTGTACATCTCAAGGTGGAAAAATATTGAATACTCTTCTTGCCCACTCCCCACCCCCATTACACACTGAACTTTTCTATTTTTCCACTCTCTAAGTACAAATATATATATTTGTATATATAACACACATTTGTGTGTGTATATATTCAAATTATATATATATATATATCAAAGTTTGATTAGATTCTATTTTTCCACTCTAAGTACAAATATATATACACAAAGATACATATCAAAGCTTGATTAGATTATATTCAGCATTTACATAATTTTGAATAAATAATACTGATAACCATGGCAAGTATTCATTAAATTATTTTAATTTCACAACTTTGTTTCCCCTGGATTTAATAATTGTTTTGATTTTTGTTCACCTAGTTCAGCGATTCTCACCCTGTGGGTCAAGACCCACAGGAACTGTATTAAAGGGCTGTGGCATTAGGAAGGTTGAAAACCACTGACCTAGTTTTACTTACCATTGATAAAATAATTGTTCCCCATTGTCTGGTTCTCTTGGTAAGATTTCAGACATAGCAAGCATTCTGTCAGTTTTATTTTCTTGAATAACTCCTTCCTACAAACGTCTAGCTGCTCCAGTTTGGTACTCAACATTTACTCTGCTTTGTGGATGTGTCACCTTGAGTCTCACTTCATTATCCTTCTGGAAATTTGTTCACTCTTTCCTGCATGGTGTTTCTTTATCCTGGATTTCTTACTTTCTTCTTCATTGGCCTTCATACTTTGTTTTGGTTGAACACATCTTCCAGTAGCTTTTTTATTTTTTATTAAATCATAGCTGTGTAAATCAGTGCAATCATGGGGTACAGTTTGCTGGTTTTATTTACAATTTGAAATATTTTCATCAAACTGGGTAACATAGCCTTCATGGCATTTTCTTAGTTATTATATGAAGACATTTATATTCTACATTTAGTAAATTTTGCCTAGGCCCTTGTAAGATGCACTATAGGTGTGCTCCCACCAATTACCCTCCTTCCACTCAACCTCCCCCCTTCCCTCCCCTCCCTCTTCCTGTTCTCTATATTTTTGGGCTATAATTGGGTTATAGCTTTCATATGAAAACCTTAAATTGGTTTCATACTAGGGCTGAGTACATTGGATACTTTTTCTTCCATTCTTGAGATACTTTCCTAAGAAGAATATGTTCGAGCTCCATCCATGTAAACATGAAAGAGGTAAAGTCTCCATCTTTCTTTAAGACTGCATAATATTCCATGGTGTACATATACCACAATTTATTAATCCATTCATGGATGGATAGGCACTTGGGTTTCTTCCATGACTTAGCAATTATGAATTGGGCTGCAATAAACATTCTGGTACAAATATCTTTGTTATAATGTGATTTTTGGTCTTTTGGATATATGCCTAGTAGAGGAATTGTAGGGTTGAATGGCAGTTCTCTAAGTGTTCTACAAACGTCTTTCCAAAAGGAACGTTTATTAGTTTGCATTCCCACCAGCAACCTAGAAGTGTTCCCTTTCCTCCACATCCACACCAACATCTCTGGTTTGGGGATTTTGTGATGTGGGCTAATCTTACTATAGTTAGATGATATCTCAAAGTGGTTTTGATTTGCATTTCTCTGATGATTAAGGATGATTAGCATTTTTTCATGTACCTACAGGCCATGCATCTGTCTTCTTCAGAGAAGTTTCTCTTCATATCCCTTGCCCACCCCGAGATGGGATCACTTGTTCTCTTCTTGCTAATATGTTTGAGTTTTCTGTGGATTCTGGTTATTAAACCTTTGTCAGAGACATAATCTGTAAATATCTTCTCCCATTCTGAGGGCTGTCTGCTT